GAAAGTATTAGAGTCAAAGTTTATTACAAGCACTAACTCTCTTTTTCTTGTAGAGCTTGAAGTCTTTATTATATATTGTTCTATTATATATGCATTTATTAGAGTATTAAATTATTAAATATATTAAACATATTATCTCTATTATATCTCTTTAACATTCCTTATTACTTAAAACTCTTAATTACCATATATCCCATTAATTAAAGTTTCCTCTTAAAACCTTATTGCCACTATTACTCTTGTATCTGCTAATAGCCCTATATGACTTTTAGGAGTAATAATTCTGGAAAGCCTATATTAGGTAGGTAATTGTTATAACTGTTAATTGTTACTGTGTTACCATTGATCACCTCCTTCTAGATGCTTTCAGAATCATGTCTCCACAGCTCACAGTAAGTATCCATGTGAATTAGTAGATGTTTATAGACTTATATATTGTCATTAGTGAAATATACTGACACAGCATATACATAATTTAGTGCATAGCAAATTGTTATAATCAACATAGTATGACTGATATTAGAGTTAGGATTAGCATTCAGGTATAGCGGAATTAGTCACATGTATGCTGTGTTGGTATAACTTCTTATTGTTATATACAAAATTTATTACAGTGCTTAGGGACAGTGCAATTATATGAAATCCTCTTCTCTAACTGCTAAATAACCAATCACAACCTAAACACATAATTTTGCACTGATCCTAAAGCTACTCTAGCATACTCAGTAAAAAAAATGTGATCACATAACTAATCGACAAAAATTGACTAATAAAATTACAATACTAATTGAAAATCAAATACTATATATCTTTAAAGTTAACCTAGCATTTAATATATAAGACTTTTTCAACCTATTTGGAATTCTCATTAACCTAATGCCAATAAATTTATATATTTATAAACTATTATATAATCTTAAACACAAATTATATTTATATTTATTTAGATAAATAAGTGTATTTGTTTAGTAAATACACTACAGAATATTATATATATGCTGTTAGTAGCAAACCTGTACTTCTCCTGATCTCGAAAAACTGCTAAAATAGATAAGCAGTGAAGTCCCGAATCGATGCTGCATGGGATCATGACCATAGCCACTAAGCCTCCAAAACAATTAACATTGTCAGGCCCGAAATGTTAAAGTAATCTGCATTAACCCGATTGACAAAAGTACAAGCTAAAATGAGTCAATGGGTTAATATTGCCTTGTGGAGTAAATCTTGTGGCTGTGTGGGTGTGTCTCTAATAGATGGAATGGTTGTGGGAACATTGATTGGAAGGTAAAATGAAGCATTGAATGAGCAAGAAGTAAGAGGCTATGAAAAGTAAGGGATAAAGAGTTAAATTGAAAAGGAATGAATTGGTTTGGGTCCTATGTGGAAAATAGAGGGGAATGATGTGGAAGCGTTTTTGGATGCCAAATGTTGTTAGGGAAATAAAGGCTGTGAAGGAAAAAGAATTGGCTAAAAGAAGAAAAAGGGCTTGAAGTAATAAAACAAAATGTGTTAGAATAATAGCGAATTTTTCGAAAATGTTCTTCTTGCTGCTCTGTAAAAACCTTATAAAAAGGAATCATTTCCGCTTGAATAAAATGTGTGCCTTCCCTGCCCTACAAAAAGTAATAAAGTAATAAATAAAGACCCCTAAAATTCCTACTCAAAGGAAATAAACTTCATAAAGCAGAACGCTCTTTCAGGACCCCTTCACTTACCCCATCCTAACTCTTTTAATAATGCTCCTTAACTGTTACCCTAGAACAGTGCCAAATCGTCCTGCCTCTAAGACATTGAGGAACATTATACAGCATAACCATTTGTCAAGTGACAATTCATCACATTTCTTAATTACCTTTGTGTGTGTAATACTACTGATTCATCAGTAACAATGTAATTAATACAACTATAATGTTTGTACTAAATAACTAAAAAAAAAACATATTTGAATGTAAAAAAAAAACTTGGCCATCAAATCACATAGAATAAATCTAATCCAAATATATTTAACTTTTAGATATTCTATTCATAACAATATAATTAGCAGATTACTAGCTTTTACCATTACTACTAAATTGTATTATTTAAAAAGTGTTATTTAAAATTTTTTAATCACTATTTAATAGTAAAATAAGAAAATTAGAAAATATAATTTACCTAACAATTGATGCTGCCATTACTATATTAATATAAAAAAATTAATATTTTTTATTAATTAAAATTAAAAAAATATATACAGTATATATGTATTGTTCTAACTCTTCTCTTATTACAAACATTATCAACTCTTTAGTTTAGCATATTCTATCTAAAGCAGATCTTAATTTATCTACTAACCAGCTACATGAACTCATTCGTAAAATTCAAAAATCCCTCATTTGACCAAATACCATTTTAAGCAAACTCTTTCTATTTGGACCTAATTCTTAAAGGCCTTATACCCAAAGCTCTAATCAAAACAATTCATAATTACAATATATCTACTAAAATAGCTTCACAAACCATTATTCAAAAACTTCTTGATATTAATAATCAAATCTATAACCAAATATGGAAACCTTACTGTATTGACTTTTTCAATTAGAAAAAAAATAATAACATTACATCTCTCCAAATTTTTAACAATCACAATACCTTACAACAAATACAACAAATTAGACATCACAAAAGATCACATACAAACCATACATACTCATGTTTATGTGGAATAGCAGAACAATTACATTTACATCCTAATACCTGCCCACCAATCAGACAGGCTATTAAGAAAATCAATATATAGTTAACACTCTGGATTAATCATAGCACATCTTATAATTATATTTTAACATTACAAATCTAAGTGGACCTTGACCACCATAGTCAGTTTAGGTTACAGATAAAGTCATCTGAGCTTTAATTCTTGCATATAGTTTTTATTTGTATTTTACAATCTTAGTATATCTTTAATATATAATATATTAATATGTACAACTAAAATTACTAATAAAGATATGAGCAAGGCCTCACCTTAACACCAAAAAAAATATATATATGTATTGTAATATTGCATACTTTAACTAATTTAAAAAATGAGTATTGTGTGTATGCTTTTTTTAAGTCTTTGGCATTGTTATTTTTTTATAATAAGTTTTAATTTGTTCTATTATTGTATTAATTGACTGTAAGTTTTTTTCTATACTTTTATTCCATTTAAGATTTTTTGTATCTTTGTATTCATATAATAGATCAAGTGTTTTTGAGATATCTTAATTAATCAGTTAAAAAAAATATCTGAATCTTCAACTTGATTATTATTTATATTAATTGTATCGAAATCTTGAACCTTTGTTTCATTTAAAAGAGATTCATTATTATTTTCAATTTGATTGTCACTATTTATGCTAACTTTTAAAGAAGTCAAACTAGTATTAATTAAAAATAAATATTGATTGTTTTGCTTAATCTGGTCAAGAAATTGTGGTAATACAACTTTCTTTTTTTGAACAAGATGTTTACAAATAAAGAACCAATTTGTAAGATAATATAAACAGTTACAGGTCCACTGTTCCATATTAGTATTATAAAGTTTATTACTGTCTTCTTTAACAATTCTGTTTGTCAATCATTTCTATTCTGATTTTATTGATTTTTGCCAATCTGCTTTTATTCATCCAAGTATAATTTGATCAAATTTACATTTTTGATGAAAAATTACTTTTTTTATAAGAATATAGGTAACTAAATCAAGTCTTGGACAAAAAAATTTATATAAAAAATCTCATTTGATTACTTTCCAATATGATTCTATAAACATCATTGCTTTTAATATTGAAATCATATTTTTATAACCTCTCTTATCCATAAGACCCATCGATCTGTGCAATACTACTCTTTCTATAAATAAATCTAAAGAAAGGACAAAAAATTATTTTTACAAAAAAAATAAATTTCTTTCACTGCTTATTCCCAAATTTGTAAACATGTTAGTACCAGATTAAACGTTGGTATTAAAAGATAAAGATGTAAATGTCTATCTATTAATTCCCAAACTGATATATATAATTCTTTAGAATAAAACATCATGTCTTTTTGAACTAAAAGTTGTGGAATAAAATCTTTGTCAATAAATAGAAAATATTCATAATCATTATTATACTTATAAGTAACTTTTTGTGAAAATTTATTTGAAATTAATCAGGTATCAATTGCTTTTTTCACATGCCAATAACATAATTGAATTTTGATATTTGGTTAGGTAAAATGTATTCCAAAAATATGAATGAATCTTTATCACTTAATACGAACTCAGGTATAAATCCTTGTAACTTTATCTCATTAAGAAAATTTAGCAGTATATCAGTTTGTACTCCATTTCCAGATTTATTATTACTTCCAAAAACAGATATACAAGTGGATATCCTGAACTATTTACTTCTGCATATAGTACATACAATTTTAACCCTAAATTGTTCATATTATCTATACATATTAAAAAATATATTAATATATATATATATTAATTATAAGTAGAAAATACATATAAATAAATAATAAAATATATTATAAATACATGTCACATCAATTCTGCATTCATATACATTAATGTTTAATTATTTTAAGTAATCAAGAAAACCTGTTAAAAATTCAATTGCTTTAACTGATGTTGTTGTATTTACAATAAATTTATAATTTTTTTCTTTAATCCATATTAAAACAGATTTAAAAACATCTTGATGTTTGACATATCTGCTATTTCCAAAAACTGTCTACTAATAGTAGACTTGTTTTTGTACAATCAATATATCCATACCCTTATTAATTAGATTTGTATAAATATCTTGTGGTAATAAATCAATATTATTTTTAATATATTGTTTAATATCATCTGGAACTTCTACATTATTTGACTTTAGATGCAACATATTATGTTCAACTATAATATTGACAACCTGAAGCATTAAATTAATGTTTACTTTAATACAACCATCACAATCATATTATTCCATTGAGGTGATATCTTTTCATTTTTCTGGATTATTATGCTTACAAGATTTTTTTGCCATATTTATCTGTTGAGAACAAAAATACCAAATACTTGTAGTTTGTTTGCCATCATATTTATTATTATATCTACAATAGTAATAAAATAACATTATATATTAAAAAATATATATGTAATAAATTATTTTAAAATAATAAATTACTGTAATAAATACATCCACAAGTATTTGTCAACATCACTAACAATATTTATTAAATGATTAGCAATTTCTTTTGAAGATTCATTAAATGAAGAAATATTCATGACACATGTAAAATAAATACCCAATTGATTATTTTCTTTGTTATTTTCTGCAATTATTAAATTTGTATGCAATTCAAGAAGATTGTAAACATAATCTGCAAGATTATTTGATTCTAATATTTCATTTGGTATTTCATTATCATCATTTAATAATTTCTTATTTTCTCTATATCTTTTTGCTTGAGTTCAACATATATTACAGGTATCAGATTTTTGGTTGGGTTTGGGATTTGCAAACTTCAGTTTAGCTTTATAGATATTACACCTAGAACAGAAAAATTGATCAGTGATGCTGTTCATTATGTCTTTAAATAAATAAGCCTGTCAATATTAAAATTAGTTTATTGAAAATCACTTAAAAATTGTTTTTTTTACTTACATGTTAATTATTTTTTTAAAGTTATTTTTTATATCCAACCTCTTCTAGTATTAACTTCTACTCACGGCAATTCCCCACACGACACTTTGCACGGCAACTCTACACACAACACTTTACATGACAACACACCACACTTCACCTTCATACGGCAACTTTATCTACGCACAACAATATTAACTTTTTTCCTTTATGTACAACACCTTATGCGACAATACAACAATATTATAATAGTATTAATTATACGTTTGCTCAAGAAAATGAAGTTCGATCATTTACTTGATTGAACCTCTATTTATTGGGTTATGCAACCTATATTACATCATCGTCTGCAATAGACTCAAAATTACTATGAAACGATAAGTAACTATATTAATTAGTATTGTAATTTTATTGGTCAATTTTTGTCGATTAGTCATGTGATCGCATTTTTTTTATTTTGATAGAGATACGATCAAGTTTCGCCCAGTTTCGCCCAGTTTCGCTCAGTATTACCAGTATTGCCTAGTTTTGGCCATTTTGCCCAGTTTCGGACGTTTCATCCAGTTTCGGACGTTTCGGACTTGGCACCTTGGGCGAAACTAGGTTTCGGAGCTTTCGAAGTTTCGCCTGGCCGAAAGTTTCGGTTTAGGCCGTAACACTAATTATGGCATTACAGCATTGCGGCGTATAATATTTACGGCAATCAGGTACTGTGGCAAAATTAATTCTACCACATGGTAGAATACCGTAATGCCGTAATTCAGTAATTCTACCACCAACTATAACCAGTTTATGATTCGATCCCGAATCTCTCGTTGAAATTAAATTACGTATGCATTTAGGATTTCTCGTGTTTGTCCTGCTTGTGTTTGACATTCTACCCGCAACTAAATAAGAAAATTATATTCGGTGTTCACATATGCACTTCTCGGGTCTTACCAGACTTTTTGGGGGTTGATTCGGATTTTTAAAAAAACCCTCCTGGAACCGTCTGTGCGGAACACCACCCATCAAAACACATAACAAATAACAGAATATATCTGCACCAGCGTTTGATCAGGCCTGCGAGGCCCAGATATCAACCAGCCAACAGCGGAGACCGTTCAAATAAGTAGATGATTCTCCATGTTGATGATTCCATGTGGCTACACGTAGATGATTCCATGTGGCTACACAATAGATAAGTAATCTTTTTATACGCTTTACACTAATCCTTTAAAATTCGGGTAGCTAATTTGTATGAATAGAGAGTAAATTTAACAAATGAATTAATGTTTTCGGTTCGCCTTATAACATAATCTTTGGATCTCACAACTTTCTTTTTTTGCAAACTAATTGGCCGCAATCACGTGTAATTCTATAGGAATTGTCTACTTATTTGAACGGTTGCCCTTGTTCCTAGATACAAAATTATGCGTAGCGTCTAATAACGGTATTATCCGTCAATTACGACGATCATGGACGTGAGCAAAATTTATAATTTAAAAAATCCAAAAGGAATTTAAAATATGAGAAATTATATTAAATGCTTGGATGTAACCAAAGAATTTGTACGTACGTATGTGCATGTAATCTAGAATTAAAAATGCTAAACACCTTTTTCGGCAATAGAAATCATTAAAAAAAATCCAAAATATAAACCAAATTTGGGTTATCAAAGTTATCTTAACGTTAATACGTATACAAAGCAATTAAGTTTTAGTATGTTTACATACATAACAAGTCTTGATTTACGCCTTGCACCACATATGACTCGGATTGATAACATTATCTCCGAAAATTCCGAAAAAGAAGTAATTAAAAAGTTTGGATATCAGGTGAGCAATTTGTTTACAAGAATGCGTCATATTTCCAAAATCAAATAAATTTTTTTTTCACAGCTTACATCTTTCTGAACTTTCCACTTGTAAATTATGACAAATAATTCTGAAAAGCTTAAAAATTTTGTCACTAACCAAAATATTAGATTTGTTAATTATGAAGAATTTAGTGACATTAAAAAATTTGATAAAGGAGGTTTTGGTGTAATTAAAAAAGCAAAATGGAATAATGGAGGGGTTATGGTTGCTTTAAAACATATAAAAAGAGAGGTATATTCTGATGAAACTGTTATTCGAAATTTTATTAGAGAAGTAAGCATATGTATGTTTTTAATTGATTATTATCGATCCCAAATCTAAATCATATTAATCTTCATTTATTCGTATAATTGTAAAGCTTAAACATTTGTATACTATAGGTTACCATCCTAATATTAATCAATTATACGGAGTTACTCAAGGTTAGAATAAGCATTTGATATTTTAATTCCTAAGTAGATATCATTAATACTAAAATTTAAATGGCGCAAATTAGACCCTAACGATTTTATCGAACGTTATTTTCTGATATTACAATATGCGGAAGGTGGGAATTTAAGAGATTATTTAAAAGCAAATTTTGTATCCCTCAATTGGATTGATAAATTACGGATCGCAAAGGAAATAGCGCAAGGCATTGGCTACATTCATATGAATAAGATTATACACAGAGATCTCGTACGTAGGAATTACCTGTTTGTGTGGACATTTCGACTGAAATTAGCAAATACTAAATATACGATTATTATTATTGATTTTATTTTAATATGTTTTAATAGCATTCCAAGAATGTTTTAGTCCGTCGTGGTGAAATGATTATAGCAGATTTTGGCATATCAACACAACTGTCTGATGATATGCAAAGCATAACTTCAAATTCAAATGTACATGGAATGCCAGCTTATATTGATCCTAAATGTTTTAGTGAACCCAGATACATACGCACAGAGAAATCAGATATTTATAGTTTTGGAGTTATTCTTTGGGAAATCTCAAGCGGCAGACCGCCATTTGATGAATTAAAATTCAGAGATGCAATAGTTTATCGATTATCACAAGAACAAGGAAACAGGGAGACACCAGTAGAAGGTACACCTCCGAAATATACAGAGCTATACACACGTTGTTGGAGTGAGGAACCTGTCGATCGTCCGGATCTAAAAAAAGTTTTCGATACATTGGATCAATTGATGCAAAATGAAGCATCACCAGATGCACCTTCACCGACGAGTTCTGGAGGTGTTTCAACAAATGAACAAAGCTCAGAGGAAATAAATATTGCTATGAAAACTGAACTACCAGAAATTGTAATACAACCATCAGATGCACTGAATTATGTTAGTAATGGAAATGCAATAGATTCTGTATTGATGAAATTAGAGCATGCAGCATACATTTCCAGTTGGATTGATCATCCACAAAGAGGAGTTTTATCAAGAATAATTAGAAGAGTTTATAGGACGGATAATATTCCATATGAATTTAGGTTGCTTACTAGAGGAAGTCAAGATGGATTTACACCTAAAGATTTTCATAAGAAATGTGATAATCAAGGACCAACAGTAACAGTTTTAAAGGTTCATGGAACTGATGAAATTTTGGGTGGTTATAATCCATTCAGTTGGATAGGATCTACAGAATCAAAATATTTTTACACTATTCAAAGTTTTATTTTTAAATTAGATCATAAAAAACCAGCAAATTCAATACTCAGTCGAGCAAAACAACATGAGTCAATTAAATCAGGAATAAGTATTGGTCCATATTTTCGTTGTGATTTGTGGTTAGAAGAGAATTTCAAAGAAAATTGTAGATGTTTATGTTACCCATGTTATTACGAAAAACCAATTAGAAGTTCAACAGATTTTTTTTCCATAAGTGAATATGAAGTTTTTCAAATAGTCAAAAAAATTTTATAGCCATAAATAAAATAATTTGTACTATGTATATTTACGTGATTTGAATGAACTCACAAATATTTACTCATCTTGGAATTTGCCAAGATCTTGCTAATAAACCTAGAGTAAGTCGTCGAAAAAGTTATCATTGAGAAAAATGGGTTTAAATTGTTCTTTAATAACTATTTAATAAACTTCATATACTTTTCATTTGTTTTTTTTGGCACATTGTATGCTAGTATGTTGGCAAGTAGGCTGTTATATTGGTTGCAGCATTTTTTGCTTGGTGCTTACATGCTTTCCTCTAATAGCACTCCTATTATATTGATTTCTTTCTCAATTTTTGTTTTATTCTAGCTGCGGTTAAAAGTTCACTCTCTGTTATTTATCTGAAAATCGTGAAGTTATGTAGCACGGCGGTTTCAATGACCTAAAAATGCACTTTAGTAGTTAGACTATAATACAAAGATAACCGAACACATGTATCTAAGAGTACCTTTTTTTTCTTTTATAAAAGCAGTTTATACTCTACAAAATAATAATTAACAAAGAAGCTAAACCTTAAAAACAAAACCATTTCTATTATTTCCACATATCTATTCATAATAATTCACTAAATTATTATAAATCCTATGAAAGTATACTTTGTAAATGAGCGAAAGTTATGTAAGCCTTCTTGAGTAAAACAATCTTCCAATGATAAAATAAATACTATTAGTAAAAGCCTAAAATGCAAATATCTACACTGATTATATAATAAAAGGTGCTATTGTCGCATCTGAAGTAGCGATTTATCTAAAGTAGCCACTTTATATATCTAAAGTGAAAAGCCTGTCAACGAAGTGACAGGGCGATCATTATTGCAAGATCAGATGACTAACAGTCTATCACGTTTTCCTT